GCACTTAGGAAGTAGAGGAAGGTGGATCTTCATGAGTTTGACACCAGCCTGGTCTACACAGTGAATTCCAGGATAGTTAGGGCTACACAGAGACCCAGTCTCAAACAAACAAACAGTTGTATGTTTCCCTGCATGTATGTATATGCACTGCACATGTATCTGGTGCCTGTGGAGGGCAGAGAGAGCATCAGATCCCCTGAACTGTGGTTACAAACTGTTGTGAGCAGCCATGTGTATGTGCTGACTGAGTCCTCTGCAAGAGGAGCAAGTGCTTTTAACCACTGAACCCTCTCCATAGCCTGTTTGCTAGGATATACAGGATCTCAGCATGTAACCCAGGATGACCTCAGATCTATACCTCCTGCCTCAGCTTCCCGAGTACTGGGAACACTGAGACTACAGGCTTGCAACACCATGCCTGGCTAAAACCAATCTCACAAGCAGGGGGCGGGGACCAGAGGTCAACTCAGGTATCAAACCTTAGGCGCTGTTTAATTTATCTACCTTGTTTTTCAATTTTAAAATTGTATGTGTATGAGCATTTTGTCTGCATGTATGTCTGGGCATCACTTGCATGCCTGACAGCAAGAGATCAGAAAAGGGTATAGTATCCTTTGGAACTAGAGTTACAGATGGCTGTGAGCTGCCTCAGAGGTGCTGGGAATCGAACCCAGGTCCTCTGGAAGAACAACCAGTGCTCCTAACTACTGAGGCATCTCTCCAGCCCTGATCTACGTTTTTGTGTTGAGACAGGATCTCTCACTGGTGGGGGACTAAGCTAGACTGTCTGCTCATCAGCCCTCAGGGATTCCTCTCCCCAGTGCTGGGGTTACAGTTTTGAGTCACCATACCTGGCTTTGTCTATTTGTTGTTGTTGTTGTGGTGGTGGTGGTGGCTTTCTTTTTGTTTGTTTGTTTGGTTTGGCTTTGGTTTCTTTTTCAAGACAGGGTTTCTTTGTGAAGCCTTGGCTATTCTGGATCTCACTCTTGTAGACCAGGCTGGCCTCAAACTCACAGAGATCTGCCTGCCTCTGCTTGGATTAAAGACTGCACCACTACTGCCCCAGCTTATTTCATTCTTCATTTGTTTGTTTTGTTGATGTGGTTTCTGGGGATCCCACTCAGGTAACCTGACTGAGCTTCTCCCCCTACTTTATTATTCATTTTGCATTCTAAGCCTTTAATGCTACAGTTTATTGCAAATGGTTTCTCAGTTGGTGCACAGAGGTTTACTAAACATCATGTCACACTGTCCCTTTACCTTCTGGGATCTTCGTTAGGAGACCCTGCCATGTTATCTATTATCTAGTCCAACAATCTCAGTATGTACTCACTTAATCCAGTTGAGCAGGTAGGCTCCCAGTGGGTGATCCGCCAGGAGCCTCAAGGTGTTTTTCTATTTCATCAGAGCCAAGATGGCCCCGGCCTCAGAGAGCAGACAGCCCTTGCTATGAACTTGCGACGCCATCTCCTCTTGCTCTTAGTGCAGCCTGTGTAAGCTTGCACCTGCCACCTGTGACTGCAGCTCGGTAGGTCCTTTCTTCACTTCCAGAGGGACACTACAACTAGGGAGCAAGATGCGCACGGAGGCACATAGCTGTAATTTCAACCTTCGGGAGGCAGGGTCAGAGGATGGAGTTTCAGACAGCCTGGGCTACAACATGAGATCATCTTAGAACAACGACAACAAAACCAGAAAGAGTTGGACCTGCTGGCACAAGCTACAGAGAGGCTAAGTCAGGAGGGTAATAAACACAAGGGTGGCCTGAACTATAAAAGGGAAACTCTGAGATCCCATGGAAATGAGGGTTGGGCTGGGCTGTGATGCACACCTTAATCCCAGTACTCGGGAGGCAGAGGCTGGAGGATCTCTGTGAGTTTGAGGCCAGCCTGGTCTACAAAGCGAGTTCAGGACAGTCAGGGGTACACAGGGAAACCCTGTCTCGAAAACAAAACAATGAGGTTGGGATGTAGACCGGCAGTGGAGCCCTTGCCTACCGTGAGCAAGGCTTAAGATCCAGTTTGCAGCAGAGAAAATAGACACCTGACCAGGTGAAGAGGTCCCGGAGGCTGGGCTTTCATGCTTCACAGCACCTTCAGCTTGAGTACAGTGAGGACCCTTCCAGAAGCGGGGGGAAAAAGCTCCACAACTCTCAGCAGTCCTGGGGCTGATTTCAATTACTTTTTTCACAACTTTCATAACCAAACAAGTGTAAATATAGAAAATATTCAGTATACTTTTAAACACATGGTCCTGTGTGCTAAATCACACACAGAACCACGGAACAGAAATGTTCTGATAGGTCAGGTCACCTCCACAGAGGTGTCCATGGGCTGGACACTGCTGGAGGGAGCTCGGCTTTGGAGGGGAGCCCAGGATGTCACTCAGCTCAGGCAGCCCCAGCAGGTCAGCTCAGCTGCTTTCTGTGCCAACGATGAAAACGGAGGGTGCAGTGCATCGTGGTGGGAGAGGCAGGAAGCAAGAGCGCGAGGCAGCTGGCCACACTGCATCGGAAGTCGGGAAGCAGGGCGGTGGTGAGTGCTGGCGCTCAGCTCAGCTCCCTTTGCCCTTGTCAGAGTCTGGGGTCCCAGCCTAGGGAATGACGTCCCCCACATTTAGTGTGGATCTTCTCATGTTAGTTAACCTAATCTAGGAACTCTCTTACACATGCCCAGAGGCTTGTTTTCATAGTGATTCTGAAACCTATCAATTAAGACAATTAAAATTAGTCTTTATGATTACCTTGTAGGCCCAAGTGGGGGATACTTTTTAGTTAAAGTTTTTTTTTAATTTTTAAAATTTATTTCTATTTTGTGTGTGTATGCACATATGGAGGTCAAGGACAACTTGTGGAAGGGAGTCCGTTCTCTTCACCCATCATGTGAGTCCTAGGAATGGAACACAGGGTGTCAGGCTTGGTGGCCTTTGCCCGCTGGCTATTTCACAGGCTCAGCGCAAGCAGCTTCTGAGAACCTGTGTCTAAGCTATGTCCCCAGCAGACTCGCGAGCCCCAAGAGCTCTGGCCACCGGCATTTGTCTCTTCTGAGCCTCTGTGCCAGGGTAAAGCGGTTTTCCTGTCCATGAGCCACTGTCACACATGGGGCTCCTGCGAGACACTCGTGGTGGGTACTCTCTGGCACCCACGTGCAGCTCATGTAGGGAGCCACGCCCTAGAACGGCTCCTCAGTTTGACTGTGATCACCTCTCCGCCTTCCTTTAGATGTAGACAGGAGGAAGGGAGGCAGGTGGAAAGAAAGGCCAACTTTGCTTAGACCTGCAAACTCAAGATTCTCCCCCACAAAAAACCACACCTACGTTAAAGATTCTACAAGGCAGGGTGGGAGAGACAGCTCAGTGGTTAAGAGCACTGGCTGTTCTTCTGGAGGATCAGAGTTCAATTCCCAGCACCTACATGGTAGCTCACAACTGTCTCTAACTCCAGTTCTAGGGGATCCAATATCCTCACACAGAAAAAACACCAATTCCCACAAAATAAAAATCATTAAAAAAAAATTCTACAAGGTTAACTGTATGAGTAGAATGTTCCAGATCCAGAGCCAAATTATTTTGGGCTATCTTTAGTTCCCTTTGTAGTTACTCATTGTCCATCTCTGCCTATGATCTAACATCCTTCTATCAGGAAGAACCTTTGGACTGTACTATCTCTAACTTCTACCAACTCAAACACTAAGAATGTCATCAGACTGCATCTGAAATTTATAGCAGAGATTTCTCAGCTACCTAACTACCTGATGCCCCCATATCAATATATCTAGCAAATGCCTCGATTTATGACTTTTTGCTTTATAACTATAGTTCATATAACCACTTCTACACTGGAACCCATTCAGGGTAACCTGACTGGTGTTCCTGGACCACGATCACTCATATTTGGTTCAGAATAAACATCTCTTATTCACTTTGAAGTGAAAGTCCCGTTTTGCGTCAGCAGCCTTACTAAACTAATTGTTCCAGGAGTTGTTTGGTTCAAAGTCTGGCCTTTGACAGTCCTAACAAGCTAGGCTTGGTCACCCATCCCCAACATGCAAGCTAAAGAAGTAAGGGCAAGTAAGGAGCTGGGGGGCAGCTCAGTGGACAAGCACTTTCCTTGAAATCATGAGGCCCTGAGTGCAACCCCCTCCCAGAACCCACATTTTAAAAAACAAAAATAGGGGGCTAGAAACAACCTAGATACCCATCAACTGAAGAATGGGTTAAGAAAATGTGGTACATATACACAATGGAGTACTACTCAGCAGAGAAAAACAATGACAGCATGAAATTTGCAGGCAAATGGATGGAACTAGAAAAAAATCATCCTGAGTGAGGTAACCCAAACCCAGAAGGACAAACATGGTATGTACTCACCCATAAGTTGATTCTAGATATAAAGCAAGAACAATCAGACTGCAACCCACAGAACCAGGATGGCAATATAGCAGGGGGGACCCTAGGATGACTGTGGCTTAGAATAAGTTTTGGTTTTACTCAATCACTGGGCAAGCTTCAGTGAAACATTTCACAATTAGGATAAGAATTTATACTGTATCAAGCTGATAATAGAAAAATAAATTTTAAAAAAAGTGAAAAGAAAAACTAAGTTAGATTAAAAAAAAATAAAATAGAGGACTGGAGAGATGGCTCAGTGGTTAAGAGCACTGGCTGCTCTTCAAGAGGACCTGGGTTCAATTCCCTGCACCCACATGGCAGTTCACAATTGTCTGTAATTCCAGTTCTAGGGGATCTGACATCCTCACACAGACATACATGTAGGCAAAACACCAATGCACATAAAATAAAAATAAATAAAAAAAAACCCCAAAAAACAAAAGACCAAGCAGTCCCAGTATTTAGCACTTACACACACACACACACACACACACACACACACACACACACACACACACCCAGGCAGGTTGAGGTCAGTCTGGTTCCAGAGTTCTGGAAGAGCTAAGGCTACACAGTAAGACCCTGTCTCAAAACCAAACAAAAAAGAAACAAACAGTGAAAATCAGAGATTTATTCAATGTGGATGAAAACAATGATGTTCAGTGGCCCCCAAGTCTATCTCTGGAGTCCCAGCAAGAGGTTTAGGTTTAGAGCCTAAGAGATATATGTAACTAAGCAGTCCTGGGCAAGATGTGGCCTCACCCATCTTCGGCTCCAGCCTGCCCTGCAAGGTGGTCTGACAATCAGGAGGATCAAGAGTCCAAGGTTAACGGAGCATGTGGTGGTGGTGCACACCTTTGATCCCAGCACTTAGAAGCAGGTGTATCTCTGTGAGTTCAAGGCCAGCCTGGTCTAACATAGTGAGTTCCTGCAAAGCCAAAGCAACACAGAGAAATCCTGTCTCGAAAACAAAAAGAAAACAACAGCAACAAAAAAAGAGTTCAAGGTTATATGGTAAGTTCTAGGTGAGTCTCAGAAAAATAAATAAATAAATAAATAAACACCTGCTTGTTGGTGCTTTCTGCATCTTAGACATAAGGAAGTTGGCCAGATGCCCATTCAGCCCTCAGGAATAGCAGGAGATAAAAGCAGATGAGCCAGGCTTCTGCTGCAATAGAGGCATATTAACCAACCATTCACCTTAAGCTCCTTCCCATCTAATTACTCTGTATATACTCCGTAAAGGCCCTGCCCTTTAATGCCATGACACATGACGAGCACCGTGACAATCGCTGGAAAAGACTGTAAGAGGATCAGAGAGGAGCACCCAATTCTCACCAATAATCCCAAACCTAGTACTCAGTCTGGGCTACACAGTGAAAAAGAAAGAGGAAGGAAGACAGGCATGCAGGAAGGAAGAGGAAGGCAGGCAGGCATGCAGGAAGGAAGGAGGAAGGAAAAAAAGAAGGAAGGAAAGAGGAAAAAAACATCAGGATGAGAAGATAGACATCTGTACCTGTGCTTAGATTAGATACCCTGCTTACACACACACACACACACACACACACACACACACACACACACACACACACACACACGTATCCTACCTACCTGAGCCATATCTATGACCTCCAGCGGCCACAGTTGAGAAGTGGATTTGAGCTCCACTCAGGCTTCTCTTATTCTTTGGCCAAGAACAGAACCTTCTTTGCTGCTTCACGGTGACTGATTTTGTTTGCCTTACAATTCCAAGAAGGAAAAAGGACACAGTACAGTCAAATCCTCAGAGGGCAGATGAGGTGGCTCTTGTCTCCGGGATAGATAAGCTACTCAGAAAGAGAGGAGTACACACCTATCCTCTGCCTCCCCTGCCCCCTCCAGCCCTGTGGATCTAGGAGTGTCTTGAGTAAGGCTCCTAGACCTGACCTCTGCTTCCTTGTTACTCACATGGACCCTCTGTGCCTGCTTCAGGGCCACATCACCCTACTTTGGGCCACAATGCCATCACCTGCCCACAGGTTAGACACCTGGCCAGCCAGCTGCTTTAGCATTTTCACCAATGATGCAGAGGACCCAACTTAGGTGATGCTCACCAATGATGCAGAGGACCCACCTTAGGTGATGCTCACCAGTGATGCAGAGGACCCACCTTAGGTGATGCTCACCAGTGATGCAGAGGACCACCTTAGGTGATGCTCACCAATGAAGCAGAGGACCCACCTTAGGTGATGCTCACCAGTGATGCAGAGGACCCACCTTAGGTGAAAGAACTTTCACAACTCCATACCTGACAGCAAGGCTGTCACTGGCTGCATGCTGCTTGCTTTGTATAGCCTTGCATGACTTAACTTGGAGGCTCCAGACTTCACCCAGTCCAGTTGGCCCTGGAGAGACCCACCTGAGCCCTAATGGGGAATGGGCTTCATCTGGATCTTTTTGTTCTATTTTTTCAAGCAGTTTCTGTGTGTCAGCTCTGGCTCTCCTGAAACCCGCTCTGTAGACCAGGCTGGCCTCAAACTCACAGAGATCCTCCTGCCTCTGCCTTCCAAGTGCTGGGATTAAAGACGTGCGGCACCACCGCCCAGCTTCATCTGGCTCTTGAAGGCTATTTGAGAGCCACCTCTCATCTCTAGGCAGCTCCCCGCCCTCCACCCTGGAGTGTTTACATGATAAGGATTGTCCCCCAAACCCAAGAGAACTTTATGCCTCGGACACTTAGTCCTCGTATCAAGGTCCACTTGATGGTCACCTGAACTAACAGAAGGGCACTCAGGGCAATGCCTGTGTCCTCACAAAGGCAGCACTTAGCAGATGTTGCATCTGGTGCCCCAGGCTTTGAGATGGCTGGCAGTTCGAGAGAAAGGACCTCCCAGATGTGCGCAGAGGCCAGGAATAGGCCCAGGTCTCCTCTGAAACAGGAGTCCCAGAGGCAGCAGGGTGACAGCAGGCAGGAGGCCTTGCGGCACAAGTTTAGCCCACCACGGCAGAAGTCTCCTAGGACTTCTCACCTACCCTTACAATCCAACAGAAGCAGGGTAAAGCGGCAATTAACCAGGCAATTCCACGTAGTGTATCTGATAGTCAAAAGAGGTTTATTTGGGGGCGACTTACAACCAACAAAAGGATCGGTTACAGGATCCAGGAGAGGTGAGGTACAGTCCAATGTGGTTTTTTGGAGAACTCTGACTTGGTCTACAATCCAGCATCCAAGATCACGAGGTAGACAAGAGAGTGCGAGCACATACGCATTTCAGGTCTTAAGGGTCCAAAGAGGCCACGCCCCAGGGGCAGGTCATAGGCAGGTGTAGCAGTTACCTGCTGCCTCACTAGGGGCAATGCTTCAAGGTCAAAGCTGGAACAGCTACCCACAATAGCAGGGGCTGAATATGAAGAAATTTGTGGCTTTTCCTTTGAGATAGGCTCCACTATGTAGCTCTGGATGTCCTGGAACTCAGAGATTCACCTGCCTCTGCCTCCTGCATGCTGGTTAAAGGAGATCCTTTTTCCTGATGTTCAACTTGTCGATATCAAGAGTTCCTACGGCTCAGGATCTCTGCACACAAGCAGACTCTACATATGTAGTCCTTGACCCTCCCCCACCTTCACCATACGTGTACTTGCTGATAGATCTGATGTCCTAGTGTATCATGTGCAGGGCTCAGGTGTGTAAGCTCATAATCAGGACCTCTGACATAACCATGAAGGAGACTGAGAGAAAGCTCTACAGGGCAGGATGGGGCACTGAGCATCCCTCATGATGGGGTCATGGGTCTTGCCCAAGGACATCCTTGAGCCTCTAAGTGCTCTGTCTCAAGTGGCAAAACCTGCCCATTACTCCCCACAGTAGCCCTGATGTTGTCCAGGTATCCAGGTCCAGATGTCAGCCCTGAAGGATGCTACCGGGTGGAGGGGCAGGGCCTAGTCACTGTAGCAGGAAGGCCCTAGGGGCAAAGGATCCGGGATATTGCTCAGCAACAGGCACTCTGGCAGGTAACTCCACATTAGGGCCCGATCCCAGGTAACGTGTTAGGACCTCAAATCCTCCCCACTGATCACAGCAGACAAAGGGAGACTGGGTTAGGAACATCAGGTAGATCCAGAGCATGGCTCCTGGCTGAGCACTGCTTGTCTGTTACAGCTGCCTATGTGGGCCTGAACTCCACGTGGATCCTGAGAATCCTCATAGGCTCTTCTGGAAACCAGACAAACAGGCCACTCTGGACACAGGTCATAGAATTACTTAGGTATGCTTCCTCCTAGCCATGTTGAATCATCTGTCAGGCATGGTACACACCACCACCCACCCTTGGACACACTGAACACACAATAGCCTTGCTGCTGGTGTCAGAGATGGAGCCCCAGCTTTCTCCTCCAGCTTTCTCACTCAGGTCCAGTGTTGAAGGAGGCAAGCTGGGGGATGAGTAGATACCCCCAGTGAAGTGTCATAGTTAGCTTCAGTTGTCAACCTGACATACGTGGAAAGAGGGAACCTCGACGGAGGAATCGCTTCTATCAGATTGGCCTATGGGCATGTCCGTGGACATTTCTCCATTGCTCATTGATGGGGGAGAGAAGCTTAGTCCAATGTGTGAGGTGGGCCTGGGTTGTATAAGAAAGGTAGCTAAAAAAGCCAGTAAGCAGTGTTCCTTCACGGTCTCTACCTCAGTTCCTGCCCTGACTTCCCTGTACAGGTACAGGACTGTAACCTGTGTAAGAAATATCAAATATTATTCTTTTCTATCAAATACTATAAAATTTGAGTTTAGGATAAGGAATTCAAATTTCGTTTTCTTTTTTCTTTCGGTTTTTTTCTACGTAACAGCCCTGGCTCCTGGCAGTTCTAGGAATATGATGGCCTGGAACAGTGACCCTCCTTCAGTCAGGGACCATTTCACTTTCCTCCATTTTTTGTCGGTTCTTTTCAGACCAGCCAATTCGATGATACTGTGAGGTCAGACCCCAGCCAACCCGGAAAAGACACAGCCACCACCTGAGTTAGAGGAAGAACCAAACGCACTTCCTGCTTGGTGTGCTTCCTTGAGCACACTCTCCTGGTCAAGGGTAAAATTTGCCTTGTCCAGACACTTCAGTTGGAATGGTGGTCTCTTTATTTACCACCCAAAAATTACCCAAAACTTGGGAGTTGAGGTCAATCCTTTCCTCCTCAAGACTCAAGCCTATGGAAGGTTCTGCCATTTCTGGTGCCTTAAGACTGCTTTGGGGGCAGCACAAAGGTGGAGCTGTGTGAGCACGTGGACCTTTGGCCATGTTCAATCTGGGCTCCTTCATGGGCTTCATGTCAACAGACAGGTTTTTAGGGATGGGGCAGTCTACAGATCTAGAAGGCTTTCCTTGTGGCTAGGTCCAGCTTGTGGTCTGATTTCCAGCTTGTGAATCCTCAAACATCACCACCCAGACAGCATAGGACCCTGGGCTTCAGGCTCCTTTTCCTAGGCCCCACCAGAAACCCCACACTCAGGCGGTGCAACATAAGGAACAATCGCTTTAGATACAGGTTGGCCTCTCCAGACAATCTGGCCTTTCCTAAGGAAACTCAACATCAAGACCCAAGTTGAGGCGTCCACAGCTCAGGAAAAGTGACACTCCATTCTCCCCAGGCTCATCCAAAACTCCAGGGACCCAGGCGTCTTTAGAAATTCCCAAACACGCAGAGGAAGACTCGCCTACATGCAACCCACCTCCGTGTCCCTCATCCAGTCAGCCAGACAAGTATAGCCGGGCTCAACTTACGGACAAAGGCGGTAGCCCTGTGGCCAATTGGGACCCTGAGTAACGTCTGCCCAGCCCGCTGCGCTCAACTGATGTGCGCCTGAGGGTCACCAGCCTTGCCGGGCCCCAGCAATCGGGTAACCAGCACTTAGAGACTCATTGCACATCCCGCGTCGCAACTCGCTTAAGCGCGTCCTGTGCCCCCCAACCCAGTCCCTGCGCACGCGCAAGCTGTCCCCATCTGAACGCAAGTTCCGCCCCCCAACCCGGCACATCCTGCAGGCGAGCCCCGCCCTCCGCACCTCACGCACGCGCATTCTACTCCCGTGGCAGGCAAGCCTCGCCCCACACCGCCCCTACCGCTCTTATTAGGGGAGTCCAGCCATGGCGTCCGAGCGGCTGCCCAGCAGGCCTGCTTGTCTCTTGGTGGCCAGCGGCGCTTCCGAAGGTGAGGCGCACAGGGCAGCTGTATGGTGCAGTGGCCTGCCGTTCTGACTCCAGGTCACCGTTTGTGCCTGCGGAGTTGGGATCCTGGGACCCTGCACCTGTTTCCCTGGGGCAGGCCTGTGTAGTCTGAGCTCGCAGGCAGGGTGGCCAGCGCCTGCGGAGATGACCCTGCCCCCAGGTCAGCCGCAGGGGCTCGGTACTCTGCCCACACCGTTCCTGCCTCTCCTGGGTCCTGATCCTGGCCCTGTCTTCACGCGCCTCCAGGACGCGATCCTAAATGGGTTTGCTCGAAAGAGCTGCACAGAAGAGACTCGCACACAGAAAGGGGTCTCCTAGCTATGGGTTCCAACTGCCCCGTGTGTGTCTGGGAAGCTGGGCGGAGGATTACTTCACGGGTCTTTAGGGAACTGACTAGCCCAAGATAGTCACTGCGGGGTGACGGAGCTCAGGGCTGCGACCCGGTGTATCCCTCACAAACCATATAGAGCATTCAAGCGAGCATGAGCCTTGAACTGATGAATCCCTGGGGTCCACATAGAAGCCTCCCAGGTGGAGATGGGAGGGGCCCGAGGGTGCTGCTCCGCCCTGGAAGACAGGGTTAGGAGAATCTATAGCTGCTCCTAGGTAGGCCTTACTTGAGAGTTTGGCAGTGACGGATTGGGGAGCTGGTGGGGATAATCTGGGCTTGGTCACTGCAAATGTATAAAGTCATAAAAGTAAAGAAGCAGGGCCTAGTGGTGCGTGTCTTTAGTCCCAGCACTCAGGACGCAGAGGCAGATGGATCTCTGGGAGTTTGAGGCCAGTCTGGAACTTATATAGCAAGTTCCAGGCCAGCAGGGCTACATAGTGAGATTCTGACTTAAAAACTAAACCAAAACAAAACCCACAAAGCAAAAGCCTAGTGTAGGAGTTAGAGGCAGGAGGATAAAGAGGTTAATGACTACATGGGATGCTATCTCAAAAAGAGGGGAAATCGCTTCTCTGCCTTTTGGCTAAGATCAAGTGTAGTATCTGTCCTTATCAGTTTAATATCTGATACGTCCTCTATCCGAGGACTATGTATTACGTGGATTTTTGGAACTAGGAGTTGGAATAGGAGCTTGCTCCGTCCACTCCACGCATCGACCTGGTATTGCAGTACCTCCAGGAACGGTGGAGAGAGAGAGAGGGAGAGGGAGAGGGGAAGATGGAAAGATGAAGCTAGAGGGTTGTGCCCTTAGATTAAACCAGCACAGACATCACTGCACTTAAGAAGGTGATGTGGGTCTCTACTCCCTAACTGAGGGGCAGCTAGGCTGTACCCACAAATCGGCTAGAAGTCTTGTTTTTTCAAGACAGGTTTTTTTTCTTTTGTGCGTGCGTGCGTGTGCGCGCGCGCCTTGAATGTCCTGGAACTCATTCTGTAGACCTGGCTGGCCTCCGACTCAGAGATCTGCCTGCCTCTGCCTCCCAGGTGCTGGCATTAAAGATGTGCGCACCCGGCTTCTGGAGTCAAATGAAACAGGCAGCCTTTGTTCCTTTTTGAAGCCTCTTGATGGGCAGAAGAGTGCCGAGAACAGCATGGTGAGGCTCTTAGGAAGACGGGACCCTCTAGGTGTCCTGAGTGTGGGGAGTGCCCCAAACACCATGCTGTCCTGCTGCATTTACGGCTGTGACCTGTTCAGTCTTTCTCTCCCCAGGCTGTGGGGACCCTGGATACTGGTGGGTCTGTAGGGGAGGACCCAAATGGCTGCTGTCCTGCCCCCAGGGTGTAGACCCTGGGGTGGGTGAAATGGACTGCTCCTGAGGCTGGGTCTGGGACCAGGAGAGTCCCCAGGAGCATTGGCAGTCTCCGGTGAACAGGGGTGGGCCAGCTGACCCTGTTGGGCCCTTGCCTTTTTGGAACCCTCTCTCTCTCCCAGGTGTGTCAGCCCAGTCCTTCTTCCACTGCTTCACACTGGCCAGTGCTGCTTGCAACCTCCAGGTGGCCACCCCTGGGGTGAGTACAGTCACCCTCCTCCAGGGAACCCCGGCGCTCCTCTCCTTTCTTGGGTTGAGGCTAGCAGAGTGTAGCGAGCCCTCTGTGGTTGATAGGGTCGGGGGGAGCTATCTCCAGATAAGGGGATCTACAACCAAACTTGGTGGAATCCTTAAGTCGTGGTCCCAGTTCCCTGGACTGTGACTACCGGTGTTAAGGGAGCTTTTTTCATTGTGGCTTGCACTTTTGCAAGTCTATAAGTGAAAGATAAGAAGACTTGGTCCTAGTGTGTGGGTCCTGCCCAGATCCTCCTAATAGGAGAGATTCCCGATTCTTGCACTGTGGCCCTGGGAACACCAGATATAAATGGGCCATGGCAAATGTGCATTGTGTATTTGCATGTTTCGAAGTCACAAGGTGGCTGGGACAGTTGTTGCTACTTTATAATCAGGAGACTGGGGACTACGGGGGAGCAGGGTGTGGTGATCTCCTGTGGTAAGACCTCAGCATTGTGTTGTACTGGGCTCCTGCACCCTGGTGGTTTGCTTCTCTGGGCCTACCTTGTACTTGATTTTTCTCTCTCTATAGCCACTGAAGGCTCCCTGCCTGAGCCAGCCAGTAAAAGTGACTGTCTAGGCAGGTGTTTGTGCCCCAGGGGCTGTTTTGAAATCTGTTAGCCTTTCTGAGTTCTCTGTCATCCAAATGGGGGGGGAGGTGCTGGTGCTGACCCTTCACCTAGGCTCTGCTTCTATAGGGAAAGGCCATGGACTTTGTGGATGTGACCGAGAACAATGCACGTTGGGTACAAGACTTCCGCCTCAAAGCTTATGCCAGCCCCGCTAAGCTTGAGTCCATAGACGGTAGGTGGCGAAAGTGACAAGTGGTAACTTCTAGCTAGTGGGTCCCTGTGGAGGGCCTCTGTGTCTGGCCATGCCCTTATTTGACCTGTGGTTCCCCTCCCCGCCCCCCAGGTGCCCGGTACCATGCTCTCCTGATTCCCAGCTGTCCTGGAGCACTGGCTGACCTTGCCAGCAGCGGGTCCCTGGCTCGGATACTGCAGCACTTCCGCTCAGAGAGCAGTGGGTGACAAGAAACTGGAGAACGGGCTGGCAGGCAGAGTAGGAGGGTGTGACCAAAACAGCGGGCGGGCGACAGGGAACGAGAGACAGGGTCTGGAAGGCAGATATGGGGTGGCTGTGGAGTTCGGGGTTAGGGTTCAGGACTGGGCGTGCCTAGTGATTTCATCAGCCCCTCAGATGGGCGTGGAGAGCCGCAGTGGTTCTGACCTGCACACAGGTGAGTTTGCTCTGTGTCCATGTGCACGACAGAGTGATCTCACCAAATATAACGTGTGCACTGTTAGTCTCCGCACTGTGAGCCTATGAAGGCCCAGAGAGGGCTGGTGACCATGGCCTCTTAGCCCTTTCCATGGTAGGTTAATCAGGATACTGTCTGGATTCCTAGTGGGAATCGGCAACATCTGTTGTGGTAAGCACATCTGTAGGCTGGGGCAGGATGCTCATCAGAGACCAGAATGCAGACGGGCTCCATTCAGTGTCCTTGGTTGGTGAGAACTGGTCCTCTGGGCATAGACAAGAAGCAGTTGTTCCAGCTACCTCTGCCATGGGAATACACTGGCCATTAAGTTGCCTTTGGGGAGGAGCCAGGGGAGCCTCGTTGCAGAGCAGGAGACCCCCTGGCAGTACCACCCCCAGCTGCAGTGTGAAGCAGTGGCTGGTACATGGACTGGGAGTCCTGTGTGCTTACACATCTCAAACCTGGGCTCTAAACTCTAGTCTTTTAGCATCCACCTCGGGGGAAGGGACACTTGGCGGGGACCCTACCCAAGACAGCGCCCAGGGCCTCAGAGTACCTTGCTACTTTTAGAGCCCATCTGTGCCATTGGCCATGGTGTTGCTGCCCTGTGCTGTGCTACCAATGAAGACAGGTCCTGGGTGTTCCAAGGCTACAGTCTGACAGGGGTAAGTATTCCATGGACAAGCCAGTGTCCCGTTCCTTCCTATCTCCCTTACTCCTACCCGAACCAGGAAGAGATTCCTACAGGCACTGTGACCTGCCAGTCCCCATACTGTTAGAGCAGTTCTCTCCTTGTCCGTGTGATATGAGCTATCTGTAAGATGGCAAGCACAGCCTGAGCCCCTCTGGGGTGAGCCCCTCACATGAACATCATGGAACCCCTGAAAGGACTCCTTCCAGAGGATACCAGCCCACCTCATGTTGGTCACACTTATGCCCTGATGCTGGGGGAGCCAGGCACTCTAAGCCGCGGTGGCTTGGTCTCCAAAAGATGACTGAGTTTTGCCTTTGCGCATCTCCCCCATGTGGTAGCTGAGGCTGCTGCTTTGATTTGACCCGCCTGGTCCCTAGGGTTGGTCTTGGGGACAGTAGGGCGGGCACTGGACAGGGTGGAGCCACTGACTGGTCTGACGCAGGCCCTGACTTGCAGCCTTCTGTGTACGAGCTCATCAGGGCACCCGACTTTGCCCGCCTGCCGCTGGTTGTTGAAGACTTTGTGAAGGATTCTGGTGCTGGCTTCAGTGGTGAGCCTAAGTTGGTGCCCCTACACCTAGATTTGTGGGGCCACCTCCTGTGTCTTGGGTTGGTGTCTTAGGTCCTGCACACCCCTGTGGTGAATGGTTTGCCCAGACAGGCTTTCCTGCTGGCCCCTGTTGGTCACAGCACCCCAGTGGGTGGTCACAGCACCCCAGTGGGTGGAAGTGGGACTGGGCCTAGGCTTTGTGGGCCTAAGGTTTGTGCCCTCTGCCTTAGCCAGTGAGCCTGACGCGGTGCATGTGGTGCTGGACCGTCACCTGGTCACTGGCCAGAACACGAACTCCACTGTTCCTGCTGTCCAGAACCTGCTCTTCCTCTGTGGCAGCCGGTGAGGGCCCTGGGAAAGGGTTTGGGTGGTTTCCGGCTTTGTAACTGGCTCCCTCTACTGGGCAGTTTTGTCCGCGATGCCCTACCTGCTGGTGCTGAGTCTGGACCATGTGTTGTTCATCCTATAGGAAGTAACGTGGATGCTGTCCCTGATCCTGGTGGCCTAGAGACAACAGCTGAACTCACTGTGGCCTCTTCTGTTGGTCCTTACCTGATGGGGCCCTCAAGCCTCCATCTGGACCTTGTGGGATGCTGGAAGCCTCCAGGAGTTAAGACTTGTAGAGTGTCAGTTTAATGTAAACTGAACACTCCTTCCTCCATTCCCAGCACACAGTGTGGAGCGTCTTAGCTGGCCAGGCAGTCCCTGAGATCTGCAAATTGAGCGTTCCAAGGAGAATCGTCCATTCTTGGGGTTTTAGAATGGGGTGTTGCTCTTCCATGGCCCTCTGGCTATTCCCATCCCTTTGGCTGTTGGTGAGAACCATGGGGAAGGGACCAACAGGCTTGAGCTTCCCCTGAATTCATCTTGCCAAAGGTGGACAGTATATGTTTCCTTAGCCCTAAGCAGGCTGCATCCTTGCTGAAGAAGTCTGCCCTTGTTTAAGCCTTGCTGGCCTGTGGTTTTGAATGTAATAGAGGCCCCAGTTTGGCCTGGCCTGGTCCTGGACCCTTGGAGTAGACACAGTGATGTCACCCTGCCCCGTATGGCATGGAAAAAACATGAGTGTCACACCTAGAGATCCTTAAACTGCTGTTACCCCATAGTCTGTCCAGTGGCCTCTGGCTTACGGAAGCCTCAGACCGGGTATTTCATCTACTCCTAGAATGGATGGCCGCAGATGGTCTTGGGCTATATGGACTAGGAATAGCCATGAGTCCTGCCTCCCAGACCCTAGACAGGCTTTTGCTGAGGACCTGATATGGACACGTAGCCGCCTCCCTCCTGGACATGCTTGTTTGCTGTCAATCCTGGGGCACCTGGCCTGGACTGTAGCCTCCAGTGAACAGCCTTCTAGCCCTGGAATAAAGCCTTCCAACTGGACCTCCCAATTTCCATCTCCACTTACCTTTTGCACATCCCAAGCTCCAGGGTAGCACCAGTGCCAGAGGCCTAGAGGAACACCTTTTGGCGGTGAGAAACCTTTAATGAGGGAAGTCCAGAACCAAGTGGAATAAAGAAGCAGGAGAAGCCTACCTGTCTCTGGATTCCTCCTTAGCCATGCACTGCCCCCATCTGCCACGAACACTATGTAATGGTGGATATTCATGGACAAAAACTTAAAAATCTGAGGCTGTGCCCTAGGCTTGGCTGGTTCAGGCATAGACTGGGTGGTCTGTAAACAACAAATATATTTCACACACATCTTAAAGCTTGAAGTCCAAGGTTATAGTGTGGCAGGTGTGTCTGTTAAGAGCTAACTGGCTCAGACCTCTTTGCTTCTTACCTGGTGGAAGGGGTATCTGCTCTCTGGAACCTGGTCAGAGGTCACTGATCGTTTCATGGAGCTGAAGTCCCACTCACCACTGTCACCAAGGAGACGAGGTTTTAGCATGAATTAGGGGACAGCTTCAGACACTGGGGAGGTTTTTCAAGACAGGGTTTTTCTGTGTAGCCCTGGCTGTCCTCAACTCAGCCTTGGCTGGGATTAAAGGCAGGCCCCTGCCACCACCACCCGTGTTCTAGACTGAGGCGTCGCATAGCTATAGCAGTGAGGTGGCCCTGACTGTGCCTGGGCTCTGCCCCAAGGGCCTTCCCAGCAGCCAGTCCTGGGTGGAGAAGGGGACAGCAGGCTGGAGAAGACAGAACGAACAAAACTCTGAAAAGTGGCAGCTGAGCTCGGGGTATGTTCACAAACACATTTTAATTACTTTAAAGAAGTGAAACCTTGAGGACTGGGATTAAAGGCATTTGCCACGGCGCCCAGCTAGTGGTTTCTTTACAATGGAATGTCACCAGTTCAGTCAAGTATTTGGCCATACATTCTGATACACAGCCATATGTAGTAGTGCGACCTTTAACCCCAGCAGAGGCAGCCTGGTCTACATAGTAAACTATAAGACACCTGGTTATGTACAGAGACCTTGTCTCCAAAAACACAAGAAAGAGGTCCACAGAGCATGCATAATGAATGCCTGGCCAGTATGCCTGGAGTCCTCAGGTTGGAAAGACTCAAAACCTTGATGGCCTTTTAGGACACACTATTGCTAGCCCAAAGGTTCTGCCTACTACATGCTGAAGCGGGTCGGCCTCAAGCAGCGCTGTTCCCACAGGCTCCGGCTCCTGGCCAGAAGTGGCAGAATAGCTGTGGGTCTCCATCAGGGGAAGTGAGCACCAGCTGTGCTGGGCTGCAGAAGCCGCTCCCCACTTCACACCCAGGATAGGGCCAGACTGCCCAGGCAGGTACTTAGCTCTGGAGCCACTTATGGTGGGAATTTGGGGGAATGGGCCTAGAAAGTTGCTGTATGATCCTCCCTAATAGGGGTCCACAAGGTCTTTTTCATCAGAGCATCCACCTGCTTCTGCCTCCTGAGTGCTGGGATTAAAAGCATGGGCCACCACTGCCTGGTTTTTATTTATTTTTTTCGACATGGGGTTTCTCTGTGTAGCTTTGGACCCTATCCTGGGACTCCCTCTGTAGACCAGGCTGGCCTCGAACTCAAGAGATCCACCTGCCTCTGTCCCGAGTGCTGGGATTAAAGGTGTGCGCCACCACTGCCTGGCTCTGGTTTTTATTTAGTTTTATTTAGGGTTTCTATGTAGTCCTGGAACTCACTAAGTAGACCAGGCTATCCTTAGATGTGGACAATCTGGTTGCTGCCTTCCAGGAACTGGGATTATAGGCACGTGCTTCCATGCCCCTTCAAAGCTGGTGCCACTGCTCTTTAGATCCTGGCCACACCAGGCAGAGCACCTAGATGGGAGAATAAATCACTGGACTTACTCTGGGCAGTGGGCAGGCCTGGCTCTGTAGTTTTGTATAATATTTAAGGGTCCAGCCTTAAATTTATACAAGTCCAGGGGCCCAGGAGAGACACTACTAACGGCTCAGGAATGAATCCAGCTGCTCAGAGCTCTTTAGTTCAATTGGTTTATTCCTCAGCCACCATCATTCAGTCACTAGTTCACAGATCTCTTTATTTCCTTAGTTCCCTTCTTCTTGTTCCCTCAATTCTTAATTCCCTCTAATCTTCAATTCAATCCTTCAATCTTAAATTCCTAGTTCTCGCAATTCTTCAATCCTTCCATTCCTCATTCCTTCAATTCTTCATTCCCCCAATTCTCTGTTCCCTCCATTCCTAGTTCTCTCCCATCTTCCATCCCTTAATTCTCCATCCTTCAGTCCTTCTCCGGTCTCCCTCCTCCGGGACTGGTCTATATCCCATCCCCAACAATAACACCTCATGTTTTGTACACAGCAGGAGATTGTAGACGTCCCACCAGAGGCTTCCTGGCAACTTTATTTGCAACACAAGAGGGGAGATAAGAGTGGAGTCAGTCAGTAGTTGGGATAAATCAGAAAAGGAATGTATGTGCTAGAAATGTATCCTTACTGTGGTCAGGTGAAGGCATTCTGAATCTATCAACTACAGACTTACAGGTGATAGGTAGGAAAAGTCTGTAGGTCACTAAAAGTTAAGTAGGTCACTCAAAGTTAAAACTGTCACTTTTCCCCTCTGCAGGGTGGGGGAAGAGTACTGCTAGCTAGTCAGTCTGCATCTTAGCTTGAAACACCTGGTAAGAGGAAAGTCCTCAGTGAGAGGGGGAGGCCTTGATTTGCACAAGAAACAAAGCTCGTTCCTCTGGTTGGTAGGCATTTGGCCTGTGAGACATGTAGTGTCAGAAAGGACATTTTATCTAAGTTGGGGTCTAACAGATGGCCTGGTAGCTGTCTGTTCCTTACTTGTCTTTTAAGGCTTTGTTTGGGGTTGACTGTGTCTTAGGAAGTAGCTCAAGGAGGGTATTTGCAAAAGGCAGGTACCCCAAACAAATGCTAAAGAGGGGGCCTGGAGCTCAGAGGCAGAAGGTTCTGTCTACTGACTATCAGGTGCTTTGAAACGGAGACGCACACTCACACACACACACATACACACTTTAGGAGAATTATGAGCACAAGGAATTCATAGCAAGACACAACTGAATGTTAAGCCGCATAAAACCAAAAGACCTTGCGGACTGTCTTTCCCACTCGACTGACCCTTGGCCTCGTCAAGGTATAGCTTATAATGTACAGCTGGACTTCATGTTCCTGTGGCTCCACACTGTAACACTATGTTCAGCTGTTGCCCGCCAGGGGCAGAGCCCACCCTCTGTCTTCCAACTCGACTAGTGCAACCTCTAAGACCAGGCAGGGAACAGGGACACCAGGTACAGGGGGAGTTACTGGATAGTCTCGCCACCAAAAGTCAAAGACCTCTGCCATCTCATGTCCCAGTTGTGGTCCAGTGGATTTTAGAAGATGAGGATGAGGGCCACAATTGTCTGTCCTGGGCGACTGGTACTTAGGTGGGTGGGACAGAGATGGTGAAATGAAACACAACATAGGAAAAGCGACTGCTTTAATGAATTAGACAAAATTTCACATCAAGTCAGAAACCTATGATCCATCCCTTCTCCAATCACTAAAAAATGCAAGATTCATCACAAGCCATGTGCAATTAGGACCCAGCTCAAGGGCAGTGCAGGTCTGGGGTCCAGCCTCAGGTGCTGCGCTACTTTCCATTCTCAGCGCTGAACATTCGTTCCTGGAAATGAACAGAGGTAGAGTCATGTCAGCCCCTTACTCTGCCAGGGCTGCAGGGCCTGAGAGGGCCCCAGACAAGACCCACCAAGGTCCCCGAATTGCTTCAGCAACAAGCCAGGATCCATGGTTCCCCAGATAAAACCAAACACACACACCTATCTTTATCTAGCTGTATATTAAAAAAAAGATTTGTTTGTTTCTCCTGTATAGCTCTGGCTGTCCTGGAACTTGCTCTGTAGACCAGGCTGGCCTTGAACTCATATAAATCCTCCTGCCTCTGCCTCCCAAGTGCTGGGATTAAAGGCACGCACCACCACTGCCTGGCCCTAGTTTTGTTTCTTGAATAGTCTCTGTCCCTTAAGTGCTTGGACTAAAGGCATGTACTAGCATTCCTGGCCCAGGTACTGAATTTGTTTGTGACCTCTTGCCTCACTCTCCAGAATGATGGCACTGTAGGCGTGTGCTACCATGCCAGGCTCCTGGAGTAACTTTCAACTCTGCACCAACTTTGCCCCTGGGTGAAGGAGAAAAGGCCCAAAGCTGCCCACACAGGAACTCACCGTGAGCATCCGCTCTAACTTTATGGCATCAGCAGCAAACTTTCGGATCCCATCGGAGAGCTTCTCCACAGCCATTTGGTCCTCATTGTGCAGCCAACGGAAGGCCTTCTCATCCAGATGTATCTTCTCCAAGTCACTGGTCTGGGCTGGGGGATACCACAGCTCTCCATGCCTGCCTTACCCTTCGACTCATAACTGTCCCTCAGCCTAGGCTGAGTATCTCCCATCAGGGTCAGGCCTTAGCTCCGCCCACACAGAGGTCCTTATCGGGCCCCTTGGCCTTACCCGCTTTGACGGAAAGCACAGGTGCCAGCTTGGTGCTATCCTTGAGCAGCTCCCCCAGGAGCTTGGGTGAGATGGTGAGGAAATCGCAGCCTGCCAGTGCTTTGATCTCACCGGTGTTACGGAAAGAGGCGCCCATGACAATGGTCTTGTAGCCAAACTTCTTGTAGTAGTTGTAGATTTTGGTGACACTCTTTACACCTGGAGGAAACGTAGGCATATTCCAGGATGGCCCTAGAGCCGCCCCGGCTGCTGTCTGACCCCGCCCTGACCTGGTCCTCCAGCCCTGCTCATCAACACAGTGGTTCCCCTGCCCCATGATCTTAAAAAGTAGCTCACCAGGGTCCTCCTGGGGTTCATAGGATTTCTTGTCTGTGTTTGCCACATGCCAGTCAAGGATGCGCCCCACAAAGGGGGAGATGAGCGTCACACCCGCTTCAGCGCAGGCCACAGCCTGGGCGAAGGAGAAAAGGAGTGTCATGTTGCAGTGGATGCCATGCTGCTCCTCCAGCTCCCTGTGGACAAGATGAGCACGGGTGTTGCTGAGTGTAGCCTCAGGCTGCTCCCCAAGAGCCTTCAGTTCCTTTTTGTTTGTTTGTTTTTGTTTTCC